GACGTCGGGTCGCGGCTCCAGTTCGGTGAGTTGCCAGTACCAGCTTCAGACTAGTCCCCTTCGTGGCACTATGTGTGACCGTCCCGGTCACACCGCCGCCCGCTACTACTGCCGCCTCGACGACCCTTTCCATCTCCGCTTCGGGGCCACGTCGGCCCACCCAGAATGGCATAGCCTAGTACGTTGCCGTGTGCTGGTCTTTGAGATGGATATGGATCAGATCCGCTCTGCTTTGTATGCCATGTATGCTGATGACTCTAGAGTTACTAGATCTTATTACCCTGTGTTGACGGCCCAGGTGTTTCCGTTGTGTATAGTCTATGCTCCTCTACTGCGTCAGGCGTAGGACCTCCTTACTTGTTTAGCCTTGCCTCCACGCTAGTGCCCCCGTCGGCTGACACTCCTGTCGCACTCTCCTTGACGCTGGACTCTGGTGCATCCGCCTACTTCTTTTGGGACCACACCATTCTCACGCCGCTTTCAGTATCCGTAGCAGTCTCCCTTGCCGACCCTTCCTCTTGTCTGGTAGTTGCACATAGCTCCACCACACTTCCTTGTCCAGCGGTTCCCTCAGGCTTTCTTACAGGTCTGCGCATCCCCTCGTTCTCCAAGAACCTGGTTGGTGTCAGCAATCTTCAAGACCTCGGCGTCACCACAACGCTTCCTGGACACGAACGGTACACAGTCTGTACTCAGGCCGCCACTGGTGCCCCCCTCACCACGTTCCCCCGGGACCCGGTGTTTGGCCTGTTCACGCTAGACACCGCGTCCCCCCCCGGTGGCAATGTCCCCCTTGGTGGCTGCGTCTACGCAGGTCACTACGGCTTGCTCATGTCGATCGCATCACCGTCCCTCTTGTGCTCGTCCCGTCTCTCCCGCTCTGAGTGTCCACCCTATGTTTCTCCGTTCTCGTGCTCCTCTCGCTCCTCTTCTCCAGTCGCCACCTCAGTCGTCCCTCTGTGTCTTGTCGCCTCCTCTCTCTGACTTCCTCCGTGCTGCTCGCCCTGTTGTTCCTCTAGTGCTTGCCTCTGTAGCGAGACTGCCACTGGTGGCCCCCTCACAAGGTTCCCCCGGGACCCGGTGTCTGGCCTGTTCACACTAGACACCGTGCCCCCCCCGGTGGGAACGTCCCCCCAGGTGGCTGCATTTACCCAGGTCGCCACGGCTTGCTCGTTTCAGTCACTCACTCACTCGTTGCTTCCGTGGCACCACCGCCTAGGTCACCCCGCTCTCCCGCGTCGGCGTCACATGTCCCAAATCGGACTTGTCTTAGTTCTCCCTGCGTCGCTTCCTGCCCTCCCTCCCTCGCCCGCGCCTCCATGCACGCCTTGTGTCGAGGGCCGGCTGCACCGTGCTCCTCACTCCTCGTTTCCACCCACCACTGCGCCACTCTAGACACTGCACTTTGACGTTTGGGGCCCAGCCCCCCTCCTCGGGCCGCATCGCGAGCACTACTTTTTGGTGCTCATTGACGACTACACGCACTCCATCACGGTGTTTCCCCTGAAACGGAAGGCCAACGTCCCTGAGGTTCTTATCTCGTGGGTCGCAGTTGTGCGAGTCCAACGCGGCCTCCCCTTGCTGCGTCTCCACTCCGACTGTGGTAGCGATTCGCCTCCGGTCGGCTTGGCCAATTCTGTCGTGTGGAGGGCATCACCTAGTTGTACACCATGCCAGACTCCCCGCAGCAGAATAGGGTCGTTGAGCGGCGCATCACTTTGGTCATGGAGGTGGATCATACCTCCATGATCCATGCCGGTGCACCCCATTTTCTGTGGCCATTCGCTATTCGCTACGCTGCTCACCAGCTTAACTTGTGGTCGCACTCCCAGCAGCCGCAGGTTTCGCGGACCCTCCTCTGGAATGGGTTCCCTGGTGACGCGTTCTTGTTCCACGTCTTGGGCTGCCTCACTCACGTTTGTGCCTCTGGCATGGACATGCTCACTGCCCCCACTGTCCCTCGTGTCTTCATTGGCTTCCCCCTACAAGCGTCTGACTGGCACTTTTACCAGCCGCCGTGTGACACGATCGAATGAGGTTTGCTCAATGTTCACTATCAATCAGTACAAGGTGCTTTTATACTTCCATAGTACATCAGGTAACCAGGTTTATCCTATCCAAAGGGAATAGACCCTTCTAGAAATAAAATCACCCTGCGTATAGCCATGCAAGGCTATTGGCTTTAAGGGATTATGGCGGGATTATGCTACATATAGCGCACCAGTACATCTCGAGCCTGGTCGGTGATATAATCATAATAATACGATAACCAAAAGATAATGGAAAAGGAGGAATAGGAAACCAAATGAGATGAAATAAAGACCAAATGAATCAGGAGTGAAAGAGGAATAAAATGGAAAGAAAATATGGAAAGGGGAAATTGGTGTAACGGGGTCGTACTCTCACACGCCGTCTTACCGCTTCTTTCACTCTCGTGACGTCAATTTTTACGAGCATGTCTCCTTCTACACCCGCTTTCCACACCGAGGTCTCCCGGTTACCCCGCCCTTGTTCCTGGTCCCCACTCCTGCAGTAGCCCCTGCTCCTCTCCCTCCCCATCTTGCCTCGTCTGGTGTGTCTCACGTCACTCCCCTCCCGTCGGTTGTCCCGGTGGAAGAGTCGGCCGACTCTGGGGTCACCGCAGCTCAGGTTTCACTGCATGTCACCGCCCATGTGTCTCCTCCTCCGCCGTCACAGCGACAGCCGCCATCGTCGCCTTAAGCAGCCGTCGTCGCCACAGCAGCAGCCCCCAACGCAGGGGTTCGCGAGCTCTGGGGTTGTGGGCGCTGGGGAGGGTGCTGGTGCTTGCGGTGTTGATTCTGGGGGTGCTAGTCCTAGGGGTATCATTGTGGCTTGTCCCGGCGGTCCTCGGGGTGGCATCGGTGCTGGAGAGGGTTCTCGTTTTGGGGGTGCTGTGGTGGAGAGTCCCGGAGGTAGCCGTGGTGCGGCCGGAGGCTCTGGTGTTGGCATGGAGCAGCAGCAGCAATGACCGCCAGTGTCCGCCCTTCGCCTCCTCGGCCTTCCCTCCCCCAACCACCCACCTGCACCTCCCTTCCGCCGCCTCCCCTGCCTGTCTACGGCCTTGTGTTTCCTCCGCCGGACTCGTCCCTGGCCCTTTCCCCCCTCGTTCCCCTCCTGTGTCTCGTGACCCGACGCCTCCTTCCCACTTCTGGTCTTGCCGTCCCTTCCGTGCTCGTCCTGTCTCCCCGGTTCAGTGTTCTCACCCTATGTTGCTCCATTCTCACGCGTCTCGTGCTCCTCTTCTCACGTTGCCTCCTCAGTCGTCGCATGTTGTCTCTCCGCGTCCTCTCTCTGACTTTCTTCGTGCGGCTAGTCCCCTTGTTCCTCGGGTCCTTGCCTCTCTTGTTACTGTACCAACCCATCCGTTTCTGTCCCAAGTCTTGACGCTCTTGTCGCCGCCAATACTAACTTTGCCTCTACCTGCCGCCTTGACTACGCTACTACTCAGGTGTCTAAACCTGCCCGTCCTCTGTCCGTCGGGGGTGCACCAGCCCTTGGCAATGACGTCCTAGAGGACAAGCAGTACGAGCTAGCTTTCTTGTTCGAGGCCGCACCACATCTCTGCTCTATGCTAAGGGTTTGGGCATAGGAATGCCAATTGACCGCGGTGTTGTCGGGCAGCAGCATCAGCAGACTCCGCATTAGATCCCTGATGGAGGGTGACCAAGATGCCCTTGATATCCCGACCCCTCGCACGTACGCTGAGGCCACCTCGGGACCCTGGGCTCCTCGGTGGATATCTACCATGGACGCGGAAATGGCATCTTGGAGATCTACCGGCACCTACATCGATGCAGTTCTCCCACCTGGGGTTAACGTAGTCGATGGCCGGTGGCTCTTCAAGGTGAAGCGCCCTCCTGGAGAGCCGACAGTGCTCAAGGCGCACTACATTGCTAGAGGCTTTAGCCAGCGCGAGGGTGTGGACTTATTCCATACCTTCTCCCCCACCCCAAAGATGACCACTCTTCGGGCGCAGATTCACATAGCAGCACAGCGTGACTACGAGCCGCACTTTCTTGACTTCTCCACGGCGTTTCTCTAGGGCAGTCTGCACGAGCAGGTCTACCTACGCCGACCACCGGGCATCTCTAGCTCTTTCCCTCCTGGGACTGAGTGGCTCCTTTGGCGCCCGATTTACGACCTGCGCCAGGCACCTCATGAGTGGCATGACACACTGCGTGCTACGTTAGCTGACCTGTAGTTCTTCCCGTCCTCTGCAGACCCTTTGCTCTTCGTTCGTTCTGACCATACCCAGTTCTATATCCTAATCTACGTAGAAGACCTGGACTTTGCTACTGTAGACAGAGATGCATAGGTGTCGAGGAAAGGTTGCACTTCGATCAGTACAAGGCGCTTTTATACTTCCAAAGTATATCAGGTAACCAAGTTTATCTGATCCTAAGGGAATAGACCCTTCTAGAAAATAGAATCACCCTGCGTATAGCAACGCGAGGATATTGGCTTTAAGGGATTATGGCAGGATTACGCTAGATATAGCGCACTAGTACATCCCGAGCCTTGGTCGGTGATATAATTATAATAATCGGATAAAACAAAGGATCATGGAAAATGGAGAACTTTTGTAACTTCTTCACGTTCTCGGGTCTCTTCCACATACGCACGGCTTCAATTTTCTTGGGGTCGACGTGAACTCCTTGAGCGCTTACGATATGTCCGAGGAATTGGACTTTCTCGAGGGCGAAGTCGCTCTTGGATAGTTTGACGTAGAAGCGTTCTCGTCAAAGAATTTCGAAGACGCGTCCTAGGTGTTCGACGTGCTGCTTCATGTCGCGCGAGTAGATGAGAATGCCGTCCAGGTACACCACCACGCATTCGTCCAAGAGTGGGCGTAGGATATGATTCATCTCTGCTTGGAACGTTGCAGGTGCGTTGGTGAGTCCGAACGGCATCACGTAGATACTTGTATGATGCATACTGAGTTCGGAAGGCAGTCTTGTGAACGGAATCGTCCGCCATTCTTATCTGCCAGCATCCGGATCACAGATCTAGTTTTGAAAATACCGTAGCTCCCCGAAGCTGGTCAAGCAGGTCATCGATTCGTGGAATCGGGTATTTGTTCTTGATGGTCTGCTTGTTGAGAGCTCAGTAGTCGATGCACATGCGCAGGCTTCCGTCCGGTTTCGGTGTGAAGAGTACTGGGGTACCGTATGGCGAAGTGGATGGTCGGATGAGTCCTTTGGCGAGGAGATACTCAATTCGTCGGGAAGAATGTCTTGGAACTCCTTCAGTAAATCCTTGATTTTTTCTGGAGGTTCCGAGGCTTTCTCTCCGTCATTCTCCACCTCTGTTGCTATCGCCAGGAATCCGGTGTCAGTTCGTTTTACATCCTTCTCGAATCAGGCAAGTGTCTCCATTGGGATATCTCCTGTATCATCCCAGTTGGGTAGCCGGACTCTCCTTCCCTTATTGTGGATGCTTGTGGTGCGGTTTACCCAGTTGATCTCGTGGTTGAATCGTTTTAGGAAGTCGCGCCCAAAGATCAGGTCAAGCCCTTTTATGTTGGTGACGGGTAAAGCAAGTTTCCAGCGCAGTGGCCTGATTTGTAGGTGTAGCACTGCTTCGCCATATACTGGTAACTTTCTGCCATCCACCATCGTTGTAGAAAACGCTGATGGCTTGTACCCTTCTCGAAGTCAATCGATGGTTGCCTTGTCGTAGACGGTGTGCGATGCTCCGCTGTCCACAAGTGCTTGGAGGCGTTGTGCTTTGCAGATGACCTCGAGCACGAGGGACAGGCGTTGCTCGGAGTACCCAAAGATAGTTTCATTGATTGGGTCATAGGGTACATCTCAATATTCGTTGCTTCCTACTCCTGAGCTGGCAGCTGGCCGAGGCTGCTTGGAGAAAGGCTCTTCTCCAGGGCCCGGAGTTTCCGTGACGACTGTTCGTGCCGTTGACGAAGTTGCCGAGTTGGATGCATCCGAAGAAGAAGGACTTCGGGGTTTTTGCAGCTTCTTGTAGACCCCCAGTTTCCTTTTGAGCTGCTTCAGCTCCACCGACGTCTTCCCTGGGGAACGGGTAGTCGCTGTGGGCTGGTGTCGTGAGAGAACGTTGACTCCGTGAAAAGGTCGGCTTCTTTCCACACTCCTTAATATTTTCCCCAAGTTGTCCGGTACCAGTATGATCTCCACAGCTGTCTGCTTCTTTGAGAGTCCCTCCCGAAATTTCTCCAAGCTCTAGCTCCTCGAAAATCATAAGTTTTCATTAAAGCATCTTTGTAAGATAACTTTAACGAATCCCTATAATTTCTTGGGTCTTCAAGGAGTTTCCCCGTCTCGGCAGAGTCTTTTTTCGCGGAGTTAGATTTTCCCTCGGCGATTTCCTCTGGCAAAGACTGGTCGTGGGGTGGAGATTTGTCCCCATCATTTTCTCCTATTCGCGTCGAATCAGCTGCGTCGAAGTTGATTTTTCCGGAAGTCCGCGGCCACTTTCGGATATTTTCTTTTTCGCCTGCTAGATCCGCAATCACTGGCGAGTCCCGTTTTTTGGCTTTTGATTGGCCAAAGGATTTCCGCCACTGTTGCGTGCCCGATACTCAGCGCGTGCGGCTTTCATTTTGTTGTAGTCGAAGATTCGAAGACCCGGCACTCCGCAAAAATCACACGTGTAGTTGGTGTTTTTCGGACGTGGCCGCCCCTCGAACCTGTCGACTTCCATCGGGTCGGCGAACGTGGTGTAAGCCGAGCGGTCGCCCTGTCGCGTACTGCCGACGTGCGTCCGTCGTGTCCCGGCGTTGACCATGTCGAAGCGCTCCGTTGCCGAAACAACATCACTATAGCTCGCGTAGTTTGACGCTGCGACTTGTCGTTTGACTTCGGTCTTCAGCCCGGCGAGGTGCGACTGTACTTTTTCCCCTTCGGTCAGGTTGGGAATGCGGTTATAAATTTCCTCCATCTGCTGCGTGTACTGCGCTACACTCCCGAACTGTCAATGGCGATGAATTTTTTCGCGGGCAAGGAAACCCGAATTTATCGGCTCGAAACGTTTGAGCAGGTCGGTGCGGAACTGCTGCCATGTGGCTTCGCCGGGGATGAAGGTGCTGTTACCGCCAATCCTCTCGAGTGCCGGCCCTTGCATTAGTGTCGCCGCGAGTCGTACGCGTTGACCGTCCCAGATTGGCGAGCTTCATCCGACGGGTGCGAAGTAGATCTCCATCCCGGCGATCCATTTGCGGGCGTCGGAGTTTCGATCGCTCGGATCGAACGGCTCAGGTGGGCGCGGTTTCAGAGCCTCGAGAAATTGCTGCGATTGCTGCGTCGTCGCCGTTGTCATTTTGTGTTGCGCGCCGCCGAGTCGAGTTACTCACTCGAACTCGTTTTGCCATGCTTCGCGATCCGCTCGCATCTCCTCCTGAAGGGCTGCGATGCGCGCGAAGAGCTGCTGGGTAACTTCGGTGTTGTCGAAGTTCGCCATCCTGTTCAAAACACGCGCGGAGGGGGTAATTCGAAAAAACGCGGAGTTGGTGCTTACCAGAATCGGCGTCGAATTGGTCGCCCCCGGCGGTTTTTCGAGGCAGGAGTCCCGCTGCTGCTGCTTAGCTGAGCGCGGCCGAGTGAGAAAAGCTCTGATTACCAAGTGTTACAGGATCGAATGTGTCGAGGAAAGGTTGCACTATCGATCAGTACAATGAGCTTTTATACTTCCAAAGTACGTCAGGTAACCGGGTTTATCTTATCCTAAGGAATAGACCCTTCTAGAAAATAGAATCACCCTGCGTATAGCCATGCGAGGCTATTGGCTTTAAGTGATTGCAGCAGGATTACGCTAGATATAGCGCACCAGTACATCCCGAGCCTTGGTCGGTGATATAATGATAATAACAGGATAAACCAAAGGACAATGGAAAATGGAAAATAGGAAACCAAATGAGACGAGATAAAAAGAGGAATGAAATAGAAAGGAAATATGGAAAGGGGAAATTGGTGTAACGGGGTCGTACTCTCTCAATAGGCCTCTGTGAAGGCTGAGCTGCTAAGGAGACACACCTGCACTGACCTAGGAGAGCTGCGCCGCTACCTTGGCCTCCAGATCTCCAAGGACAGAGCAGCGCTCACCATCACTCTCATACAGTCACACTTGGTGTGCCAGGTCCTTCGAAGGTTCGGTCTTCAGTTCTCCCCTTCACAGCCCACCACAGCCAGTAGATCACAAGCTCTCTACTCCAGTCTTTGATGAGACCGTAGAGCCTAGTGGTCCGTACGCAAAGCTGGTGGGCTGCCTCATGTACCTGATGACTTTCACTCGTCCAGATATTGCATACCCTCTCAGCATTCTGGCTCGCTTCGTGGCAACAGGCACACACCGACCACAGCACTGGTCAGCCGCTAGGACGATTTTGTGTTATCTAGCAAGTACATTGGGCATGGGGTTAGTGCTCGGAGGACGCAGGCCAGTGGTCCTTACAGGGCACACACACGCTTCGTGGGCAGACGACGCTGAGACTCTTAGATCCTTCCATGGCTACTGCTTTAGCCTTGGTGCAGGCGCCATCTCTTGGAGGTCCACTCGCTCGTCGTCAGTTGCCCAGTTCAGCTGTGAGGCTGAGATCTACGCCGGTGCCATGGGGGCATGGGAGCACCGCTGGCTTACGTTCTTGCTCACACACTTGTGTGAGCGGCCTAGCTCTGCCCCAGTCTTGTACGCTGACAACAGGGCCATGATCCTCCTGTGTCAGGAGCCGCGACTAGAGGGCAGAGCGGAGCACATCCAGCTGCGGTACTTCCTTCTGCATATGCTATAGGAGCGCCGCCTCGCCGGCTTGCTGCGCGCCCTGGGCTCTATGCGTTCTACTGGGCCTTCCCGCCCGGTCTTCCCGCCTGAGAGTCCTGCTGCCACGTCGCTGTACCACCGTGTCGCTCTATCGCTGTGCCGCCATGGAGCTGTGACGCTGAGGCTGCACGATGGCAGACGCCGTACTCTGCCTGGACACGGAGGGATACGCGATCGACTTCGCCGCCTGGCTTGTTGATCTTTGCCGTCACCTCACAAGTCAGCACCAGGATGGGCACTCCCTAGCTATGCATGTTGATGGCTTGCTTCGCTGCCTCCCCGCGCATCCCCTCCCTGCTGATCCCACCACTGCTGAGCGTGAGGCCTTTTCTGCTGCTGTGCTCGCTCGGGCTGTCTGGGATTCCTGCGATGCTGTATCACAGCTCGCCATTAGTCATGCTCTTCCTCTGTCTGAGCGTCCACACTTCACTGTTGGTGCGAATGCCAAGGATTTCGTTGATGCAGTAGTTGACCGCTACTCCACGCCCGCCTCCGCCTCTGCTGGCCACCTAATCCTCCCCATGCTGTTCCCAAATCTTGCCGCTTTTCCCAATGTCCCTGACCTCGTCACTCACCTCCAGGCACTCGACACTAGCTACCGCGCTGCTAGCACTACCGCCCAATTTAGTGCCTTCCCCCCACCGTTCTGCGCTACCCTGTACCTTATTGCCATGCGCCTGCCTGACCGCTTAGCCACTCCCTGCGACCACTTCCTTAGCCAGCACCCTGGTGACCTCACCCTGACCGCCTTTGTCACTGCCCTGTCTGAGATAGAGACTCGCCAGCGCACTATCGCTCATTCGAGCAGTGTTGTGGCAGCCCCTATCTTTAAGAGCTGTGCTCCCTCCCAGTGCACAGCTGCCCCTGCTCATGAGACCTCAGCTGCAGTGTTCCCGCAGCAGCGACAACGTCGAGGCTATCGTGGCCCCAAGGGAGGGCGTGGTGGTGGTCCTGGTGGTGGCAGTGGTGGTGGCGGGGACAGTGGTTGTAACGAGGGGGTTGGGGCTGGTGTCTAGGAGCAGCAGCAGCCGTAGCCGACGCAGCAGCAGCAGTCACAGCAGCAGCAGCAGCCGTGAGCTCACTACCGCCATGGTGGCTACGAGCCTCTGGAGGTGGTGGCCGCAGTGGCGGCCCTCGCAGCTCAGTGTCTACCGGCAGCTTTGGTACTATGAGCTGCCAATACCAGCTCCAGACCGGGCCCCTCCGTGGCACTGTGTGCCGCCGCTCGCACCCGACCGCCCGCTGCTTCTGCCGCCTCGACGACGTCTTTCGTCGCTGCTTCAGGCTGGCCGTGGACCTCCTGGACTAGCCCAGTCTGCTCCGCCATGGTGTGACTGTTTTTTAGTTAGATATGGATAAGATTAGTTCTGCCTTGCATTCTCCGTATGCTGACGCTTCTAGTGTGTTTTGATCTTACTACCCTGTGTTCTCTAGCTTAGGTGTAGCACCTGTATGTAGTACAGACTCCCTTGCTGCGTCAGGCGTAGGACCGTTTGCTTTATCTAGCCTAGGCTCCACACTCGCTCCTCCTTCGTTTGCCGTTACTGCTTCGCTGTCCTTCACACTTGACTCTGCTGCGTCTACCTGCTTCTTCCGCAACCACGCCACACTCACGCCGCTTGCCGCGCCTGCCGCTGTCGCACTTGCTGACCCCTCTTCTGGACATGACATTGCTCCCAGCTACACTACCCTTCCCTGTCCAGCGGTCCCCTTGGGTTTCCTTACAGGCTTGCACATCCCTTCGTTCTCCAGGAACTTAGTTGGTGTCGGCAGTCTTCAGGACCTCGGCGTCACCACTATGTTTCTTGGCCACGAGCGGTACGCTGTCTGTCCCCCCTTGTGACCCTCCCTGCGGACCCTATGTTTGGCCTGTTTACATCAGACACGGCTTCCCCCCCGGTTGGCACGTCCTCCCTGGGCCCTCCATCTACCCAGGTCGCAGCGGCTTGCTCGTCTCGGTCGCTCACTCACCCGTTGCTTCTGTGGCACCACTGCATAGGTCGCCCCGCACTCCCGCATCTGCGTCACATGTCTCAGCACGGTCTCATCCTGGGTCTCCCTGCGTTGCTTCCTGCCCTCCCTCCCTGCGCCCCCGTGCACGCCCTGCGTCGAGGGCCATCTGCTCCGTGCTCTTCACTCCTCCTTGCTTTGTCCTGCCACCGCGCCACTCGAGACCCTGCACCTGGACATCTGGGGCCCAGCCCCCATCCCTGGACCGTGTCGAGAGCGTTACTTTTTGGTGCTTGTCGACAACTACACGCGCTACACCACGGTGTTTCCTCTGGAGCGGAAGGCCGACGTGCTTGACGTTCTGATCCCCTGGGTTGTAGCTGCGCGTCTCCACCGCGGTCTCCCTGTGCTGTGTCTCCACTCCGACCGTGGCAACGAGTTCGCCTCTGGTCGGCTTGGACAGTTCTGCTGTGCGGAGGGCATCACCCAGCAGCAGAGCGTGACTACGAGCTCCACTCCCTCGACTTCTCCACTGCTTTTCTTCAGGGTAGCCTGCACGAGCAGGTCTACCTGCGCCATCCTCAGGGCTTCACCGGTACCTTCCCTCCTAGGACCCAGTGGCTCCTCCGGCGCCTGGTCTACGGCCTGCGACAGGCGCCCCATGAGTGGCACGACACGCTGCATGCTATGCTAGCTGACCTGCAGTTCCTTCCGTCCTCTGCAGACCCTTCGCTCTTCGTTCAAGCTGGCCAGTCTCTGTTCTACATCCTTATCTACGTAGACAACCTGGTCATTGCTACTGCAGACAGAGACGCGCTGGCCTCCGTGAAGGTGGAGCTGCTGAGGAGACACACCTGCCCTGACCTGGGACAGCTGTCCCGCTACCTTGGCCTGCAGATCTCTAGGGATAGAGCAGCGCGCACCCACTCTCTCACATAGTCACACTTGGTGCGCCATGTCCTTCAGAGGTTCGGTCTTCAGTTCTCAGCCCCCACCTCTGCCAGTAGACCACAGGCTCTCAGCTCCAGTTCCTGAGGAGTTAGTCGAGCCCAGTGGCCCTTACACAGAGCTGGTGGGTTGCCTCATGTACCTGATGACTTGCACTCGTCCAGATATCGCATACCCTCTTAGCATCCTGGCTTGCTTTGTGGCCACAGGTAGACACCGACCACAGCACTGGTCGGCCGCTAAGAGGGTTTTGCATTATCTAGCAAGTACATCGGGCATGGGGCTAGTGCTGGGAGAACGCAGGCCAGTGGTCCTTTAGTGGGCACACAGACGCTTCTTGGGCAGACGACGCCGAGACCCTCAGGTCCTCCCAAGGCTACTGCTTAAGCCTTGGTTCGGGTGCCATCTCGTGGAGGTCCACTCGCTCCTCGTCTGTTGCCCAGTCCATCTGTGAGGCTGAGATCTACGCTGGTGCCATGGCGGCATAGGAGCTGCGCTGGCTGACCTTCTTGCTCACCGACTTAGGCGAGCGGCCTAGCTTTTCCCCGGTTTTGTACGCTGACAACAGGGCCATGATCCTCCTGTCTTAGGAGCCTCGACTTGAGGGCAGAGCGAAGCACATCCAGCTGCGGTACTTCCTCCTGTGCGAGCTATAGAAGCGCCGCCAGGTCCGCGTAGTACACTTGGCCTCTGGTGCCAGCACAGCTGATATCTTTACAAAGGCGCTTGCACCTAAAGATCGTCAGCGGCACTATTTGCAGCTTGGTCTAGTTCTTGTAGCTTCTCACTTGCTAGGACCTTGATTGTGTACTCCTCTTTATATATACCTTTCTGACTGGCCTTGTGGCTTCGCTTCCAGTGGCCGGACTAGTAGTGCCGCCCTTGTTTGCTCGTTTTTTTGTACTCTTGCTGACTGGTCTTCGAACCCCTTCCTCAAAGGTTGGACTAGTAGTGCCACCTTGAGCTGCATGTTTCTTGCTCAGCACTGCCCCATATCTAGCCTACGAGGTGTCTCTACTTATACATATGTTTGTATGTAGAAGTCATAGGCTAGATAGGTTTGTGTTCTTAGGGGGTACAATTCCAACCCTATATCTCCCTTGTTCTCACTTGTTTCTATTCATTCTGATTTTCTAACAGCTTGCGCCTAAAGATCATCAGCGGCACTTTGTACAGCTTGGTCTAGTTCCAGTAGCTCCTCACTTGCTAGGACCCTGATTGGGTACTCCTTATATTATCTTGACTGGCCTTGTGGCTCTTGTTCCAGTGGCCGGACTAGATGTGCCGCCCTGAGCTGCGTGTCTCTCGCTAGGCACTGCCCCTTGTCTAGCCTAGGGGGTATGTCAACTCATACATATTTGCATGTGTAGCAGTTATGGGCTAGAAGGGTTTGTGCTCTTAGAAAGTACAACACCCAACCATATATTCCCTTGTATGCCTTCATTCTTCTCATTCGGTTACCCTGAGTGGTTTAAATATACCCTGTATAAACACGGCTACAAAATGTTTACCCTGAAAAATCAGACTACTAGAGTTAGGTACCCTGTGTGACATGATGTTTGGTGGGGCGACCCTGTTTTCAAAGGGCGGCCCAAAACCAATTTTGGGCCTTGGGGATGACATGATACACTGGGGGACTTGATACGGTGCTCCCTCCTATTGTACAACATCGACTGGTTCGATGCGGTTGCTGTCTTCCGCGATGAGAAGCCGCACTGTCCCGTCCAAAATATGAGTTCAGCTAACCCAACCCCTGGCAAAGATTCAGGTGCCTCAAGCAGTTAGCCCACTCCATTGGTGGAACCAAGAGCATGAGCGGCTTTGTAGAGGAGTAGAGTATGTTTGGTGGTCGTGCATAGTGGCTTCTGTGGCTGTAGGCTCTGTAGGGATGAGCACATGAGTCTTAGGAGGGTTAATGTATTTTATGTGCTAATTCTTAACTATTCATGAATTTTCTCAGGAAATTTCCAGAGACACTGGGCCAGGTCTTTTGAAATGTACTCTGATAGCTCAGTGCAGGGAAATTTTTACTCTGCTCTTACTTACTAAGACTTTTATTTACCTTAGCATGCAGGGTGATTTTTTCAGGCACCCTGATTTCTAGGAGTGGCCTAAAACCAATTTAGATCCCTGCATTCATGTCCACGTGAAAGTAGCCACCCGTGCATGATCTATCCGCCTCACTATCTTCATTGTTACCTGTACCGTCACAGCACGTGAATTCACCCGCTGCTGCCATTCCCAGACCCAGACCCTTCGGTGCCCTGAGTGCCATTCACATTGCAAGATCTCATCTTTATGAGTTGATGCGGGCGTGCTACAAACGCAGCCGGCCAGAGTTCTGTAACCGTTTTGCAGTATTGGGGTGAAAAATCTACTGGGTGAAAAGGCTTGCGGGCATCTGATGTCCTGTTCGCTTCTTGTTGATTTGAATCTTGCAGGCCTGCAGATGGTCCCAACGTGTGGTTTTCCTCTTGAACTGGCTGCTGCACTTGGTGCTGGGACTGGTGCTGGTGCTGGTGCTGGTGCTGGTGCTGGTGCTGGTGCTGGTGCTGGTGCTGGTGCTGGTGCCACTGATGGTGCTGTTTCTGCTGATGCTGTTGCTGCTGATGCTGCTGTTGCTTGGGCCCGTGCTCATGCTGATGTGTCTGATGCTGCTGGTGCTGCTGTCGTTCATGTTTGTGCTGATGCCTCTGCTGCAGCTGCTGCTGCTGCTGATGCTGCTGATGGGGACTAGAACACTGCACCATCCTCGAGCAAGCGCCTGAGATTTCATAGCTCTCCACTCCTGGGGTTACATGGTCAAAGCCTGATGGCTCCAGACCCGTGGAATGAACGCCAAGGGTGGCTTGGACCGGCGGAGCGTGCAGCATCAGCTCACCGGCCTCACAGGCAGGCAGGTTCAAGTCAGGGATGGATCGAGTGGCAGGCGTGCTGCCCTCACAAGGACATGTAGTGCTGTTGCCTTCGCAAGGGCACGTGGTGCTGTCGTCACCAGGATGTGAGGATGCAGCAGCTCCTAATGGCTCGTCCATGTCTGTGTCCGGAGTGCATTTAAGTTCTACGCTGCTGCTGCTGCTCGGCGCTGCAAGGGCTGTGAAGCATTGCTGCAAGGACTGCAGAGCTTCTGCCGGCTCAGCCACCGTGTCTGTGGCCATGGTGGCCATGTCGTTTGCGCTGCTGCTGGTCGGCTGCTGCATGGGCAGCAGATCCTCTGCTGGCTCGGCAGTGTCTGTCGTTGCGCTGCTGCTGTTCACCTCAGAGAAGCGTTCTAGCGGCTTACCTGGGAAGATCTGCAGCCCTTGCAGCTGCTTGGCTCGGAAGTAAGCTGCCCAGATTGGCCGCGCGCTGAAGCAGCCACTGTCAGCATCAGAAGTAGCAGCAGCAGCAGCAGAAGAAGAAGCAGCGGCAGAAGTGGCGGCGGGAGCAGAAGCGGCAGCAGCTGCATCCGCAAGAGCTGTTAAGCCTGGAGCTGCATCAATAGTAGCTTGATTCGCCGCAGCAGCAGCAGCAGCAACAGCAGCAGCAGCTGCTGCTGGGCCTGGAGAACCAGCAGCTGCATGACTCTGCGACCTGTTCCAAACCTCCCCGATTCGATTCTCCACCATCCCTCCCTTGGGTTCCGGTGCACTAGAGCTGAGGTGCCCCAAGGTTCCCCTTGCCGGCCTGCCTGCAGTGCGCTGTGAACTCATTTCTAGAGTGGAAGGTGCCGACATTGCTGCATGAACTCTAGGGCTCTTAAGCCCACGCCCTCGACAGCCATGGTTGGCAGCAGCACCAGCAACATCAGCAGTAGCATCAACAGCATTAGCAGAAGCAACAGCAGCAACAGCAGCACCAGCATCACGAGAACTGCAATCACAATTGTCCTTGCAGCGGCCGCGTTTCTTCACCCGTGCGGTCTCCCAGTGGGAGTTTGTGTCGCTGGACTTGCGTCTGCAATCCCCTGCGGGAACCCAGTGTGCCGCCACTAGCTGCCTGGCCCACTGGCTGCGAGGCGCCAGCAGTGCCGCCTCCATTTGTCTGAATGGCACTAGGGGATTCCTTAGACGATGATAGAGCTCAGACGTCCGGTCCGGATCACCTCAACAATGTGCGGCAACGTGGCACGGGATCTCTGATTATGGGCACCGAGCTCTGTGATTGGCCCGTGAGCTCAGCTGTGATAGGCCCGTGAGTCAGCTGTGATAGGCCCGCGGGATAGGGCTCGGATATGTATATTTTCGCGATGATTGTATCGAAGGAGACGGTTTCAACTCAAACCCAGCAAGCCCCTATAGACCTCCTGGCAGGTGTCTCCCCCTCTGGGTTATAGGGGCGGGTGACAGGACCCTGTCAGGCGAAGGACTCCTCAGGCGGACTCTGTGGTGTTGGCTTTGGTGGCTGCACGCCCAGGCTCGTTCTTCAGACAGAAGTCCTCTTGACTCAAACAAAACTCTTGACTCGGACAGAACTCCTCCCAAATCAGGCAGAACTCCTCCCAAAACAGAAGGAACTCCTCCCAAATCAGACGGAACTCCTCCCAAATCAGACGGAACTCCTCCCAATTCAGGCAGCACTCCTCCCAAATCAGGCAGAACTCCTCCCAAATCAGGCAGAACTCCTCCCAAATCAGGCAGAACTCCTCCCAAATCAGGCAGAACTCCTCCCAAATCAGGCAGAACTCCTCCCAAATCAGGCAGAACTCCTCCCAAATCAGGCAGAACTCCTCCCAAATCAGGCAGAACTCCTCCCAAATCAGGCAGAACTCCTCCCAAATCAGGCAGAACTCCTCCCGAATCAGGCAGAACTCCTCCCAAATCAGACAGAACTCTTCCCAAATCAGACAGAACTCCTCCCAAATCAGACAGAACTCCTCCCAAATCAGGCAGAACTCCTCCCAAATCAGGCAGAACTCCCAAATCAGGCAGGAATCCTCCCGAATTAGTCAGAACTCCTCCCAGACACCTGGCCTGATCTTGTTCCGGGAATCTGGAGCCCCGGCTAACTCGAGCCTCTGATGTTGGCCGTTGTTGCCGTCGGCGTTGCCTCACACCTGGAACTGCTTCTAGAACACCGGGCCACAGATAGAAACCAGCCTTGGGCTGGTTGGAGCGCTAGGAACGAGCGGCGGCGAGCGTCTAATGCTAAGAATGTGGGAGTGAGAGATGACATTATATCATGCTGATCCACGTCCCTGGACCCCCCTTCTCCACCCCCCCTCCCACCCACGCCCCATGCCCCCTCCATCCCAGCCAGCGGCACTCAGGGCTGCTCGGCCTGTGCTAGGATGCTGTAGGCGGCTTGGCCCAAGCAATCACACAGTGTGATTCCCCGAGAGGATCACGAAATACAAGATCTACTACCCGGTAGTAGAGCCAGTGGGAGGGCCTCTGTACTAAGAAGGGCGCCGCAGGGCCAGTGGGAGGGGGCATATCCCATATCATCGACGCCAGCTGGCATCTCGTCGCCCAGCTTTCGCAAACGGCGTCGCAAAAGACGTCGCCAAGGCAGGGAACGGGGAGCTCTCGCAAACCGAGGGGCGGTTTGAAGTTCCCCACTGCTAGTGGGGCACTCTCCCCACGTTCCACGTCACGTGGAACAGGCTGAGCCAATCATAGTAGTGCTCAACAGTTGCCAGGTGAGGGGTTACAGCTGTGCCGCCGCGCATTAAAATGCGACGCAGCGCAGCTTGGGACGCAAACTTGGCACGCGAACACGACAAGGGCTAGCTGTACCTGTAACTGTAACTGTAACTGTCGCAGGCCACGCGTCTGCTGCTTGCTGCTGTCAATCTCGGATTGATGGTGCCTCTGAATCTGGGGTTTCATCGGGCTTTTGCGGGAACCTGACCTGAGGTGAACAGACCGGCGACGGTTCGACGAGACACGACGACGTCAGGCGCCTCTTGAATGATCGACGTCTGACAATTTCATGAGGGTACACATGACGTCCAGTGAACAGCCCATTCGTCAGACCTCTAGTGTACGTAAATTCCGTGATAATTTGACAATGATTCCGATCGTTCCAGCGCGGGAAACGCCGCAACGAGATTGAGCCGTTGGATGATCGACCTGGCGACATCGGTTTCTGGTCGGGGCTTTGGTGCATAAGGCGAGGGTGAACTGTAGTTCTGAACATCTGATTTACTCCCTCTCCCTCTCTACAGTATCTCTCCCTCTCGCTTCGCCTTTCCGCCGCATCCTTGCAACCAACAGTGGGGAGGAGGGAGGCAGTCAGCTCAGCTCGCCACACTTCCCGGAACAGCTGACGTGTCAGAGAATGTGTGCATCAAAGCCTGGCTTGTGGGCCGAAAATTGAGCGGCTTTGAAAGCAGGCAAGATACAACGGCTGCTGCCGAAAGGCAGCGCACGCGTGCCTTTCGGGTGGAACGACCTTGGCGGATTCGTACACGCCGGGACCATTCCTAGCTAGTGCTGCAAGACTCCAACGTTCCGCTTAGAGGCGCGTGCGGAAATTACGACAGCAAACGCCGCGATAACTGTGCGGTCACGCGCCATGACTGAGGATGTGGAAGCTCTGGCTAGATCTAGGCATCGAACTGTTCTGAGCTACTGGCATTGGAAAATACAGCAACGAGGTATAAAACGAAAGGTTAGGGCGTGTCTAGAGATGAGGTCCAGAGCGAGTGTCACATTCGAGGTCGATCCGCGGCCGAAGGAGTCGCGGGTTGTCACAACCTAACTGCAGGTTCAGTGTGCCTGACGAAGCAGTAGCGAAAGGGCATCAAGTTGTCGGAAAAGCGAACTGGGACTGAACTGGAAGCACGAGTGATTGCTGCTGTTGAGTTTTACTGGTCCTACATTGGCAGGCGATCATCTGCGCGAAGTGTGAGTTTGTTGGAACCGTCGGCCACCCGGAATACACCGTCGTTTTCCTCTTAGACCTAATGCAATTTTTTCCCAGCCTCAGATCTACATGCTAAACCCTCGGGTCTAACACTCGCTGCGGAATCACCCTGATGTGTAATGCCAACAAATGTCGTCGACGTCCGCCGACATCGGAGGTAGTTTTAGCACGATTTAGTAGATTTTTACGAAGTCAAAGAAGGTTTCTATATCGGTACGTCGACATCGGGGATGTCCTAGGATGTCTTCGGATGAAGCTGGGCTCTCTGGACACGCTCTGAGGTGGAGGTTGGTGGGTGTGGAGGTTGATGCTAGGTTTTTGCTGGCTCTGACTATGCATCCTTACATTACAACTGCCCTATTCATCCGAGGCGTCGGAAAGCTCGCCCCCGCCAATAAGGGTCAGAACCAGAAACGGCATACACCCGCCAGCGGCCAATTTCTGCAGAGTGAGACAGTGAGTAAACAGGGTGGAGGGGTGGGGTTGAAAACATCAGCACCCCCTGAATACTTCGTCTGGGTCTTCTAGACACCGCCTACGACGCGCACGAGTACTTTTAAAAACTTCCTGGACTTTCCAGAGCTGCTTTCTTAACCATAAGTTTAAATAAATTCACAGAGTCATTGCCCTTCTAGGTCAATTCGTATTGGGATTTCCGCCAAGATGGTCGCCCTTGGTTTCCAAACTGGAAAGGCCAATTTTGAAACTCGAAAGGTCAGTTTTGATACTTGAAAGGTCGGTTTCGAAACTCGAAAGGTCGGTTACGAAACTGGAAAGGTCGGTTACGAACCTCGAAAGGTCAGGTGGAGATCCGCTTTGAAGCAAGCAGGGCAGGAGACCCATTTCGATGGGTTCGGACATGACTTCGGACGTGAATCAAGTTGCTAGGGCGTGTGCTTCAGAGCTTGGTTTCGGAAAGAAAGCTCGCATCGAGGAAACGGGTAGCCCAAGAACGATTGGAGAATGAGTACAGCGGGTATGCCATTAGGTTCGTGACATTTTACTCCATGTAATACTCCAAGGTCCGGAATTCGATAAGATCGGCCCCGATGTACTCCGTCTGTGCGGTATACATCTACTGTTGACTTCGCTAAAAAGGCGCAATAAAACATTGTGACCAATCACGACAGTCGCGTAATGCCATCGACCATCGAGTCGCTCCACCCGAATTGGGTGTGATCTCAGCATGCAAGTGTTGCCAACCAACCCGCAAGTGCGAGCTCGGAAATTCCTCCTGAATTGTGCTTGGAATTGCCCGGCCAATACGCGCTTGCCAGGGCGATCAGACGTAATCACGACGGACCGGCAGGCGACAGCCACCTGGTACCCCCGTCCATCTGGCACTTTTGCATGCGTGCTGACATGGGCATGAATCCGTACCCCCTTTCATCCATTCTGTCTTATTATTACGGTCCTATTCTAATCCTCGTGTTAAGAACATTCGAGGCGTTTTCCATATTTTATAACCAATCACGTAAATATTCAGGCTTTCCGCGTGACACCAACAGGTCCGTCCCGAATACGAAAACACGATCCACGGTCCCTCAGTCACCATTAACCAATGCACATTTCGAAAATGTTTTCCTTGAATGGTTTTTTTCACATTCGTGAAAGTGTGTTATTGGTTAATGAAACCACTCAGGCGAGTCGTCATAGTTTCGTTACGTTAAGCCCTTTTCGTGAGACCACGAAAAGGGTTTTTTTTAATTATATATTTTGCTCGTTTTGAGCCAGCGCTGCTTGCGAAAGTCGAGAACGAGGTGTTACTTCTATTGTACGCCGTAATTCTTACAAGACGACAAATTTGCTGAATATTTTTTAAGAAGCCACATGAGACCTCACATGATACGCGGCAAAGTCGCTGGTAACCTGGCCCAAGGGCCAATACGCCAAGGCACCCATCGTGAACAGAAAGAGTAAAACGGCCTACGCGACCCCACCTAAAACCGTACGTGCTACTCGATAATCCATTTTGCTCGTAGTGAACCGCTCTTATTCGTCGTAGTCCATATTTGCGAGTCGCGGATTTGGAGCATAGAGCATACCCCCTGTAACCTACTCGTCAATTATTGCTTGAACTCCCTCGCGCGGGAGATTTGGAGCTAGGCCGTGTCCTGAGTGCCAATTTTGAAAACGAATCACACTGAAGACTACTATAGCGCACAAACCACTACCCAAATCTACCTAGCCTAGCTGCACCGGAAATCAATAACGATACGTTTTGCACTCCGGGCAATCCCTTAGGGTGTGGAACATTTTTTACGAACACGCCTCACGGTTGAGCTTTCAGAACGGTGGAAAGCGTTATGAGGTGCTTGACTGTATTCATAAAAAATGCGTCATACAATACGGTTAACATTCGATTCGGATGTTGTTCGTGAAAATGTTTGGATAGCTTGTCAATCGGTGCTGTGCAAATTCGCATCGGGGTTTCAAACGTTGCGCGAGCTAGAAGTTCTACGTCGGGCAGTCCGGCCAGTATTGCCATTGTTAAACGTGCATGTTCCGCTCCAAAATGGCGTCGAACTAACCTCGGGAGGTTTTTAGGGTGTAAGGCTTCAGATTAGCTTATTTTGACATTTGACGCTATTTTTGTCAAAACATATTCTAGTATGTTATTGTATACTGTATAGGTTTGTGCCTTAGAGGGTAAAATACTTGTCTATATTCCCTTCTACCTTCTAGTTCATTCTAGCATTCTAACATGGTATCATGAGTAGGTTAGGTCTCGCTCGCCCACACGCGCTTCCACCATAGGTCCTAGCTGGCCCGTTCCCCCCTAGCCGGCCCGCCCTAGTCGGCCGCCGGCCCGCCCGTCCCGTAGCCAGCCCGCACGCACCCAGTAGCCGGCCCCGCGCCCGTCCCTAGCCGGCCCGTCCCGCGCCCGTAGCCGGCCCCGACCCGCGCCTGTAGCCGGCCCGTCTCGCACCCGTAACCGGCCCGTCCCGCGCCCGTAGCCGGCCCGTCCCGTTGCTGGCCCCGTCCCGCGCGCGTAGCGTAGCCGGCCCCGTCCCGTGCCCGTAGCCTTGCTGACCCATCCCGCGCCTGTAGCCGGCCCGTCCCGTTGCCGGCCCCGTCCCACGCCCGTAGCGTAGCTGGCCCCGCGCCCACGCCCGTAGCCGGCCCACCCCTGTCTCGTAGCCGGCCTCGACCCGCGCCTGTAGTTGGCCCGTCCCGTAGCCGGCCCCGCCCTGCGCCCGTTCAGTAGCCGGCCCCGTCCCGCCCCCGTCCCGTAGCCGGCCCGCGCCCTTACCCATAGCCGGCCTGTCCAGCAGCCGGCCTACGCCCGTAGCCAGCCCGTTCTGCGCCCCGTGCCGGCCCGTTCCGTGCCCATGTCCGTCGCCGGCCCTTTGCCTGCCTCATCCCGGCCCGCGCTCGTCTCGTAGCCGGCCAGCGCCCGTCCTAGCCGGCTCGCGCCTGCCCTGTCCCCGGCCCGCGCCCATTCTGTAGCCGACCCTCGCCCGTCCTGTCACCTGCCCGCGCCCGCCCTGACACCGGCTCCGTCGC